TAGCGCATAGCGCATAGCGCATATTGAATAACGCATATCGCTTATCGAAAACTCGAAACTCGAAAATCGCATATCGCGTTATGCACATAGCTTATGGCGCATAGTGCATAACGCATAACGCGTATCGCTTATCGAAAACTCGAAACTCGAAAATCGAAAATCGAAAATCGCATATCGCGTAATGCACATAGCGCATAGCGCATAGTGCATAGCGCATAGCGCATAGCGCATAACGCGTATCGCTTATCGAAAACTCGAAACTCGAAAATCGCATATCGCGTTATGCACATAGCGCATGGCGCATAGTGCATAGCGCATAGCGCATAGCGCATAACGAATAACGCATATCACTTATCGAAAACTCGAAACTCGAAAATCGAAAATCGAAAATCGCATATCGCGTTATGCACATAGCTTATAGCGCATAGTGCATAACGCATAACGGGTATCGCTTATCGAAAACTCGAAAATCGTATATCGCGTTATGCACATAGCGCATAGCGCATAGTGCATGGCGGATAGCGCATATCGCTTAACGCTTAACTAAAACTCGAAACTCGAAAATCGAAAATCGCATATCGCGTTATGCACATAGCTTATAGCGCATAGCGCATAGCGCATAGCGCATAGCGCATAGCGCATAGCGCATAGCGCATAGCGCATAACGAATAACGCATGTCGCTTATCGAAACTCGAAACTCGAATATCGAAAATCGCATATCGCGTTATGCACATAGCGCATAGCGCGTAGCGCATAGTGCATAGCGCATAGCGCATAGCGCATATCGCATAACGCATATCGCTTATCGAAAACTCGAAAGTCGAAACTCGAAAATCGCATATCGCGTTATGCACATAGCGCATAGCGCATAGTGCATAGCTCATAGCGCATAGCGCATAGTGCATAGCGCATAGTGCATATCGCTTATTGAAAACTCGAAATTCGAAACTCGAAAATCGCTATGTCTATTGTTTATTCGCGCATTAACGTGTTTGTAAAATATTTCTATTGCTAAAGACCTATCATTGGCTGTACAATTTAACTACCACTATGCCTATATAGTAATAAATGGCTGTTGGTCTTCCTTAAAAATAAATAAATGAAATATTCAATGTTTGTACATATACTCGTACATATATCGTTATCTCGCAGTACGAACTACAAGTATGTACTCGTACATCTGATGAAGCTAGCGAACATACTAACTAATGAATGTGAATGACGCTGCCAGTGTTGCCATGTACATTATGATAAGAAAACCGTGTTTGTATGGAAAAAGATTAACGGTGGGCCGTAGTACTACTTAAAAAAAGACATTACCCAAATGTCGATATAATAACGTCTTTAACCGTACAATATGATACAGCCTTAGAGTTGGGCCGTAGACGATTTTGTACTTTCTTGGTATGAAAACCGTAGAACACGGCAATTTACGTAGCATTGGCAACACCGAACAGAACGCGTTTGTAGCGGCGCGGGCGGGCGGTTTGACTGCGATGTGCCTGCTTTGGTGGCGGCTGAACAGATCTCTAGGATTATCATTATAACATTTTTTTGTTTTTATTTAATTTAGGCTGTAAGTTTTCCAAATGATAAATAAATAAATAAAATATTCACTCCTGTCATATTCTCATTTTTTTATTTTTATAGCATTTGTGCTTCCTTTAATTTATAAAATCGAGCGCCAAAATAAAAGATCGTCATTCCATTTATTTATTTTTCAGTTACAATCACATGATTTCACTTCGGAGGGCATTACATTCGGGATCTGATCCACGAATTGAAAGCGCTGACTCTAGCGAAGCCGGCCGGCCTCGGGGCCTCGCACCCTGCCGCAGACGAGAACGACGTCACTCCAATCTGTACATGTATGAGCATCTATTAAGCTTAAAACATTGATTCGTTTAATAAATGACGTATATACAGTATCGAATTAAATTTGTATGAAGGCAAAATAATAGCAAAATCCAAATCGATTATGTACAACTACTAACTACAACTGTAGGAGTAATAAATATTTTTTAACTGACATTTTTTCTTGCGGCTCTGCAATCATTATTGATTTGAGAAACACTGTTTTTTTTATTATTTAAATCCAAAAGTTATAACTATAAATCTATTGATATCAACTTCTGTGAGAGTAAAATCGAAAATCGAAAAGATTCACACAACCCCTCTCTACTAAATTGTCAAATGAATTGTCCAACTAATCAATCTTATTTAGACAATTTATAGTGCAATAGACAAAATCTTTGTCTGCGAGGTCTGTGCGCAACAAATGAACATGACAAGTCAATATTGTTCGTCTGTTTTATACAGAACTTCGATTTGGTATACATTATTAACTAGAACAAAAAAAAATGATACCAGAAGACCGTCAGCGACGAGCGGGCCACCGGAGTCACCTATGCAGACATTAGTGCCGTGCGCACCGCTGACACAGAGAGAGGAGGCGACCACGATGGCTGGGCCGTACACCTGCCGGCACTCCTCGTTGGTGATCACTTGCAGCCGGCCCTGCATCAGGTCGGGGCTTGCTAAAGAATCTGAAAGCAAGAATTGCATGAGTCTGGATAAGAAAGCTGCAGATTGTCTAGTTATACCAGTAGCTAAGGGATTCCAGATATTTGTTAAATGTCAGTCGTCAATAAATTTTAAATGAATGTTTAAAACTAACAGAAGATTTATCCATACTTTCGTTGTTTTCTGTCGTTCAAGGCTTTGGGTATTCCCACACTCTCTTGTCTGTTCGCGACCTAGTTCAAAAGCTTACTCGCTTTGTCGCTCTGTTTTTTGACAACCTTACTATTACTATAAAAGCAAAAGTTTAGATGGATGGATGGATATTTGTTTTACCTTGTTGCCTAAACTGATGAATTGATCTCGATGAAAATTTGCATATATGTAGAGAATATTCTAAAAGAACACATCTGTAGGCATAAACATTTTTTTTTAATTCCACGCGGAGTTGCGTGCAAAACCTGGTGGTTTAATATATCTTTAATGAACGCTGTGTTACCGTCGCTGGTCTTGCCGAAGCCGATGGCCCAGGCCCAAGTGCCCGCGTACATGTTGCTGCCTGACGCCAGCCCGATATTGCGGATCGTATCTGAAAATATCACATTACTTTAAAAAAAAAGTAAGATGTGAAATTCTGACTTCTAAAACGAATACTAACTGCTATAATTGACCCAGTTGATTGTGATAATGGCGATGTCATTGTTGACGGTTTGTGTGTCGTAGTCGCTGTGGATCTCCATCCTGTTGGAGGTGATTCTGGTGCCGCCTGAAAAGATGCGCACGGAGCCCAGCACGACGGTCACGTGGCGCACCATCTCCCGCCCGTCGAACAAGTTGTGCGCCGCGGTCAACACCCGCGTGTTACTGATCAGAGTACCGCCGCCGACGGACTCGCGCCCGTCCATACGCATCATTATCTGACCAGCCTACGAAAAAAAAAACGGGAATACAAAATATATGTTTTTAGTGGAAAACCATCGATATGGATTCCAATTTTTCTGACCATGTAAGGGTAGGCGCCGAGCGCGGCCGGTGACCCGCCGACTATCCTGCTGCCGTCGAAGTCTGCCGCGAGCTCGGCCTGCCTGAGGGCGTGGGCGCGCGGGATGCCCACACGCTCGTGGTAGTTCAGCTCCGGAATGTCGTAGGCCGCCGCCAGCGCTCCCAGCGCCCCCAGGCAGAACAAGCTCAACAGCGTCAGCTTCATCGCAACAACGGATCGATAAATACTTATCAAAATTGGTATTTTCTTCTTTTATTGTCATCTAATTTTGTTATCTACTTTATCCACAAAATAACATATTAACGATAAGCGTTTTTTTTTTATTTGACTGAAACTAAGGACCCGCGCCGGCTTTGCGCGTGTGGTAAAGCATATTATCGTGAATTTGTTGTCTGCCACATTCATAGTAGAACTAACTCTATCAGAATTCGGGAGCTGACGAGAGCCCGACGTCCGCCGGCTAGTCCAACACCGCCATGCCACCAACACATTGACTCTCAAGCAACTAGTTATGAAATTATGTATATTTTTTATGTATTGACGGATTGTCTTTTTCAATACTTTTCCATCAATTCATCCTTATTTAGATAACGTAAATTATGATTGATTATTCGAATAGGATTAGATATGAACGCTAATAAAAAATTAAAAAATAAAACTATTTATTTGACAATAAACTGGTTACAAAAAATTGAGCCATCGTCGCAGTAGGCACAGCCTGTATCGCTGAGATCCCAGCTCAGGGTATTAAATGAAATGCTATACATCATTAGACGCAACATATTCCTATGTAATTAAAATATAAACTTAATGAAAAAAAGAGAAAAGAAGATCATAAACATATGATCTTTATTTCTCTTTTTTTCATTTATTTTAAATTGTTATTTTCGTAACATACAAGCTAAAACAGAATGATTCAATGACAAATCCGCCGCGGTCGCGCGTACACTGCGCTCCGTGTTAAACTGTGTTTAAAAAGTGATTAAGTGCACAAAATTAAGTTACAAAGTTGTGATACGTACTATTTAGTTTAACTCATGTGAAAGTGACATATTTTATTACATATTGCCTTGTTTATCGTCAATTATAATCGAATAATAAATAAATAATTTTAAATAAATAATTTTTATTATTAAATCAAGTAAGTTACAAATCAATCA